TCAATGCATACTTTTTTTCTTGAAAGTATGTCTTTCTATGGTGCTGGGCTTAACTTTAGAGAATAATAATTCTGACCCTGGATTCAGAGTGTCACTGTTCCATAACTGGTTTGTTCTCCCACCCCTCACATGACCTGTATATGTTATTCAGACATAGGTTGGGCCAGATGATGTTTCCCAAAAACAAACTACAGGGGGTGGGGGGGCAAGAACAGCAACACGGCAAACTATAAGAAAGAAAGCAAAGGGGAGCAAATGTAAGTGCAGGTAGGACTGTTTATCATCAGAGCAAATACATCCATAACCCTCAACTCTGGATTCCTAAGGGCATCAGTATGTCAGAACCTATGGTAATAGTTGATCATAATCAGAACCCTGAATTTTAAAGACAAATCAAAAACGTGTTCACTTTTGTAAGACAGGAGAAAAGATGCATTTTATTTTTTTTATTATTTATTTTTTAGATATCAGCAAACACAACATCTTTGTTTGTATGTGGTGCTGAGGATCGAACCCGGGCCGCACGCATGCCAGGCGAGCACACTACCGCTTGAGCCACATCCCCAGCCCGAAAAGATGCATTTTAGAATTTGTATAAAACTGCCTTTTCCAATTTTGGCAAATGTAGACGATAGCTTCCAGACCATGGTTAGGAGGGTGTGCTGAAGGTTGCCACTGAGTGGTACTTCTCCTGACCTCTGTGTAGAGAGGCTTACCTTTTTAATCTAGCTTATATATTTGTTTCTGCTTAAGAATACATTAGAGGATTCAAATGCCTTACAACTACTTGAAAACTGACAGTTTAGAAATTTCAGTCATGCAGAATTTCATTTCTTGGTGTTGCCAGAGAGATCACCACATGACCTTCACACACACACACACACACACACACACACACACACACACACACGCAGTCCCAATAATAGACACGACCAGAGGCCTCAATCAGAGCAAAAAGGCACATGTCACCCAGCTAACTCCTGAGACACCTGCTCAGCAGCCATATTGATGTGCTGGGACTATGCACCTTCTACAGGTTGAAGCCTGGCACCCTGATAAGGTGTGAAGGGATGAGACACTTGGGGTCCTGCCTGCCTGTACCAGGTGACCCTGCCTTGGGCCTGCATGTCCCAGCAACTGCCTGCTTGGAAGGAGGATGCTGAGGGGGCAGTAGGAAGCCACAGAAAGAGGATAAGAAGGAGTAGCCTAGGGAAGGACAGAAAAGCCCAGAGTAAGTAGGCACCACCTGGCTGGCAGATGAACTGCCTGGAGGACAACAGGCAAGAACAACAGGAGCTTTCTTTTGTCCATAGAGTAGGAGCAACTTGGTCCCTGCCTTGCTCTGCCTGAGCAGAGCCCGACACCCCACCACCACCACCACCACCACCACCACATGAACACTGTTAGCATCTGGTCGAAGTACCGGCCATCACATAATCTTATTCAGCAGAAGAGACATTAGGGAGTTTGTTTGCTCTGCCAGCAGTATCACCTGTGAAGAAGGAATCTCAGGCCTCTGTCCCCAGGCTTGAGCACAATCATCTCTTCTTCTGTGTGCCTGCTGCCCAGGTGGGGAAACCAGCCTGCACCCGCAGCAGCATCAGGATTCCAGTAATGAGAAGCATATGTTTCTAGTACACAATTCATTAATTCTTGTATTCCCTGTAGCTTACTTCCTCCCACAAAACACAGAAACCTTGGAAAATGCTTTTCCAGTAACAGCATGATTGTTGAATCCCAAAACAGTGTCACACCATAGTCACTGGCTATGTGTGCATTTTACAGAAAATGTATGCCAAAATAAATAACTCTTCTCCACATGACTCTGCTCCCTTTAGTTGGGAAGAGTAGCATCCCATTTTAATCACACTTTGCGGGGATATCTTTCCAGCCGACCGCAGGTTACCTGATGTTATTTTTGGATTGCATCTGTAGCTTTCACTCCATTAGAAGTACTGTTGAGTTCCTACACTGTGGATATTTCTAGGAGTGGAGAAGACAAAAGGAATATAAGACAAAGGCTCAAACTCTTAAAGCTTACTGTCTTCTAGAGGAGATAAGACCTAGAAAAACAGCCAGCAACCTAAGGTATACCTGATATACTAGAAGGCTTGATTTGTATCTTGGAAGATGGGTAGACTTTTGGAAAAGAGTAAAACTACGTGAGGTTGGACCCATGATAATAGACAAAACCACACTTTTTGTATTGTGAATTGTAAGGACCAACTTGGCAAGAACCAATGAGGAGTGTGTAGTACAGGAAGAGGTGTTGGGAAGACTGGCCATTCTGTGCCTTCATTTACAGGTCCCCAGCAACTTCCCACTGCTAATGGCGTTTGAAGTCCTGCCCAGGTGAAGGCAAACTCCTTCCCACCACTCTCTTGAATGCAACCTGGGTTTCCCTCTGCCCCATTCCTGTCCATCATTCATACCCATTGCTCTATGACAAGGTCCTTGCTGTTCCCTTACCTGGAATAGCCTCTCCTTCTTTCTCCTGGCTGGGGTGACTCCCACTACTGACAAACCCTGACCATCAAAGCTAACTTCATCCTTCTCCCCTGCCCAAAGGGCACTGTTTCCCTAGCTGAACTCCCAAAACAGCTATGACTTCTTCAGTCACTGGTCTTTCTGGCTTCCACTGGCACCACTGCCAGATCCCCGGTCTCCCTAGATGGACCTGGGACCTGTCAGCTGGATGGTGTGTGTGTCTGTGTTCATGTGTGTTCTTCTACCCACTTGGCTTGCCCCAGATGTAACTTGGAGATATTTTAAAGTCTGTTTCACTTGATTTTCTTGTAGAAGGCAAAGGCAAACCTAGGGATAAAGGTAGGTGGTTTGCTCATGAATGAGCAGGAATTAGGGCTGTTTCCAGCTCTTATTCTCTGAGGCCCATTTATCCTAACCTAAGTATCTGCCCCATTTGAAGAGCAGTCACTCAAGAATCCAATTTGGGGAAAACTGCAAAACAAAGAATGCACAGCCGCCTCCTGGCTGATCCAGAAATCTTGCTATTGGGGGAGCACATGTGTGGGAGTGGGCATGGTATGTAAGTCAGGTAGGAACTGGAGGGGGCCCAGGGGCTGGGGCGTGGGGGTGGAAGCAGTCGTAAAAATTCATCCTCTGCCTCTGGGGAGATGTTCTTACCCAACATAGAAACCTTTCTTCTTCAGTGTCCAATGTCTTCTGTTTCCTTGGGAGCCTCCATGGACATAGTGATTCCTCTCAGTTGCCAGATGACCTGTGGGCAGACCCACCTCTGGAAATGAATCTGAATTGGGCTTCTATGTCCTCAGATTCATTTTAGAGTCCTTTCAGTTTAAATTCTGCTCTAATTTGAACAGGAATCATCTGGAGCCACCAGCAAGCCTGTTGCATGGGACAGCCAGAGAATGCAAAGCTCCCCTGAATGCCTGGCTTCTCCCACCGTCCGTCTTTGTGTGTCGCTGTCCTTTAAGCAGAGGAGGGGGGCTGTGAGACAGGAGGCATCACATCACAGGGCACCTTTCCACTGCATTTGAATGTTACCATGGCAACTGATAGTGTCTAGAAGCTGCCCAAGTATTGTTTCTTTCTTCAGAGGGGAAATAATCCACTATTGCCTCAGCCATACGCGCACCTAAGAAAGGCAGAGATGTGGAGATGGGTAGAATATTCGGTACACTTGATCCTTTCAGCACATCCAGCTATGCAGGAGCCCCGAGTGTTCAGCCCACCCTCCAAACTGGTGGGTCAGAGTCGTGGGCATGAGCCATGGGAGAGCTTCACCTGCCTCTCCCTTGTCTTCTACCCACAGCAGCCCTCCCCGGCCTCAGAGAGCAGTGTGCTCTGCAGTGTTTCCACTTTGGGCTGGGAAACCACCTACAACCTCAGGCAAGTTAATCTTCCTCAGTGGGTCTGCTCTGACAAACTTTACAAAGTAACCAAATAATCAGACCCTGAGAAGGTTGGTAGGAATACAGCATGACAGAGGGCAAGCAATAACCCCACCCTGGATGGAGGTCAGGTGGGCCTAGGTACCTCCACTGTGCTTTCCAGCAGCAAAAGGCCTTGGAAGGGTTTTACAACTCCCCAGTCCTCAGTTTCCTCATCTGAAAAGGGACCCTGAGGCCTACTCTGTTTGATTGTTTGAGAATTTTAGATAAAATATATGTAAGACATGTATACTGTGACTAGGTAGTACGTAGTGGTTCCTTAATGACAATTAAAGTAGTGACTGATGATAAAACCTGAACTTACTTTGACTTATTCAGTGTTTCTTAGCATCACAACCAACTGAATTTTTTTTCTTAAATATTCACCTAAGCCAGGCTTACTGTAACAGAATTTGCAAAGATTGAGGAATTATACATTTAAAATTTAAAAAAAAAAAAAAAAACAACTTTTGGGCTGGGGATGTGGCTCAAGCGGTAGCGCGCTCGCCTGGCATGCATGCAGCCTGGGTTCCATCCTCAGCACCACATACAAAGATGTTATGTCCACCGAGAACTAAAAAGTAAATATTAAAAAAATTCTCTCTCTCTCTCTCTCTCTCTCTCTCTCTCTCTCTTAAAAAAAACTTTCTAAGTAATTGTAACATAGCCAATCTGTGATTAGGTATAAGAAATTTATTTGTTCAAAGATAATGATTATAAACAACACAAGATTCTCCCCCCTCTTTTCACTTCCAACAGCCCCTGGCATGCTGCCATTATTCTATTTCTGCACTGCAAAGGCTTCTGCTGAAATTATCTGTGTTTGGAAAGAGGGATATTTAATAAAGTGGCTGAAACTACTTTGATTGGAAGAAGGCAAAGAAAGACTAAAATTGTTCACCTTTTCCCTAAAGGGAAGTTGAAAAGAATTTTTACAGAGAGCTGTATGCAATCTCCAGGTGATGATTTAACTCTCCAGACTACCATATGAGCTCTAAACATGACATTTAAGGTGACTTTTACAAGTACATAAGCCTTAAATAGGAGTTTAGCATGCTCATAGCTGAAGTTCTTTTCTGAATCCCACAGGAACGTGGCTGAAGAGCGGTCTAGGCCTCGTGCACCAGGAAGGCAGCCAGCTAACGTGGACGTACATTGCCCCCCAGCTGGGGTACTGGGTGGCAGCCATGTCTCCTCCCATCCCAGGTAACATGAAGCCAACACTGGCGATGATGGGGATTGATTTCTTTGAGGGCCCAGGCTAAGTATGCATTTGAAAATAACCTCAGCTAAGTATGCATTTGAAAATAACCTCAGCAGAGAGATTACATCCAACTCAAAACTGCTTCAAAGTCTGAAATCAAATGATGGAAAAAAGGCATTTTGTGGGGGTGGAAGAGTTCTGGTTGGAACTTTCCCATTTAAGATAAGAATAATGCATGGAAAATAGTCTTGCCTCCTGTCTCTGTTTTGTTCGGACAGCTGCCATGGGGCATTCTTAATCAGAAGCCCACAGAGGAGGCTCAGACCTCCTCCCTAATTCCCAAAACAGCTGGGGCCTGGTGTGAGCAAGCTCATAGGAAGAACACTCAACAGAAGGACTAGCAGAAAGTCACCATAGTGGGCTTCGTAGGGCAAAATATTTGATTTGACATTTCCAAACTGCTTACATGCAAATCAATTGCTCTGTGCCCAAAAGAATAATCTCCACTTTGAGTATGTGAATTCACTCCTATTTTTTAAAGTGTGATTCAAAAATGTGATTTTTAACCTACATTCCCAAATATATATTCCAAATTGTTTTGCAAAATGGGCATCTCACAAGAATCATTTCTAGTGATGTCTTCCATTGCTACATTTTTCTTTAGAATCCATAACACTTGAACTGCCTACCTTCATGAAACTGGTCTGTAGTGGCCAATCTTATATTTATAGGCACCTTTGATTGCTATTTTTTTAAACACATCTAAAAGTCATGCACGCTCAAGTCTGGTGAACAAAATAGGAGATTGAGCTAGGTCAAAATGTGCTGTGATTAAAAAGTCTCTCTTGCAAATTAACCATGAAGGCATTTCCAAATGGAAGTTCAAAGTATTTTAGTAAGGGAATTATCACTGGAATTAACACGTAAACTCCCAAAGTAACTAACATGTTGGAGACCATTTGTAGATGGGTGTTGAAAAGTTTGTTACATTGATTTTATGTTCCCATAGCAATAAAATTTACACTTCAGATATGTGTTTTTCTTGATGGTGTGGTTCTTATAGTATTGTAAGCATGAACCAGGTACAGAAATGCCCCGTTTTCCTAATTTGAAATATTAAGAGAATGTGACTAGGAAGAAAGAAAGAAAAGAAATTCCTTAGGTACCAAAGCAGAAGCCACAAAGCCCATGCATTAAAGTGAACTTTTGTTTTAGACAGATTTCAAAACAACTGTGGCTATCAGTTTTCTATTATGCCACAGATGAATATATGCTTTTGTAAAAAGGAAAGGAGACTGACGAACACAGCCATGAAGTAAGAGACTCAAGAGCTCTGAGAGCATCCATAGCCCAGCCTGATGGTATTTAATGTGTGGATACAGGCGTGGGTAAACTCACAGCCATCAATTTATTAAAGCAAATGACAGTAATGCTGTGTTTTCACAAGTCCAAAACCAAGAAGAAAATAATGGGGGTTTCATTCTTTAATTCTCTGCTTAAGAAGGAAGCAAAGCACAGCTATGAATTTTCTGCAGATTTCCAGTGGCAGAGTTTGAAATAATTACCTTCTGAGTACTGAACAGACCAAGTTTCAGTTTTCTGGAAATGATTTTTATGTGTACCTAATGCATGTTTTGTTTGTCTCATTTTTGTGGTTCTGGGGATCAAACCCAGGTAGCCAAGTTTTCTTGGTGGCTTCTCACAAGGCTCCCCGTCTGGGGAGGTTGCCTTTGTATAAGAAGTTGTATATGGAACAAGTGAAGTGAAGCAGTGTGGAGTTCTTTTTCCAGCTTGCTAAACATTCATCCCTAACATCCCACACCATCAAAGTGAATTATATTTGGAAGAGAATGGTGTTCTCTTTTGGACTCAGAAATGCCAATATTTTCAAAAATTGATAAACCTCTTTCTGTTGATCTAACTCTTAAAAGATTTGGCTCCTTAAAATGATTTTTGAAGAAATCTGTCTCTTGACTTATCAAAAAAAAAATTTAAGCAAATGAGTGTTTGTGGGATTTAGTAATCATAATCAGGCTACCCTGGAATAATGTGAAACCACAGTTTTTTTCCTTTCTCTGCATTGGCCCACTGCCAGGATATTGGCCACCAATAAATGCTCAAAGCCCAGATATTGTAATTTGCAGAGGTTTTTGTTGTTGATCCATTGTGTCCGTAATATTAAGACAAATTTGCACTATTTTTAGACTTAAAAGATATGAATTAAACTCCTTTTTCTTGGGATTCTTTACAATATATATTTTTAAATGAAATATTTTTATCTCTAGTAACCTTATCTGTAAATTCTAAAGAGGTCTGTGGCTATCCGGGCTTGATGCAATACACCTGTAATTCTAGCTAGTTGTGAGGCTGAAGTAGGCTGATCACAAGTTCAACACCATTCCAGGCAACTTAATGAGACCCTGTTGCAAAATACAATTAAGAGAGCTGGGAATGTAGCTCAGTGGTAAAATGCTTGCCTGGCAGGAGCAAGGCCTGGGGTTCAGTCCCCAGTACCACTAAAAAAAAAGAAAAGAGGTCTGTGGCCGTGTGCAATTAGTCTTTTAAAAAAATGTAGAAGAATGTTTTATTGTTTTACATGGAAAGAATTTTCATTACACTTAACAGCCTGTAACAAGTTATTGACTTTTTAAAGTCATAGTAAATTTATGTCATATATTTAGACAGTGTAAATTTATGTCATGCATTTAGAGAAAGGGCACTCTATATAGTAATAATTGGCTGCCCAAACATATCGAGAATAAGATCTTTTGTTTTATTTTTCCTGTCATATAAAATCTCCAGATACTCAGATCATCTCTTAAAGGTGAAAAACCCCTTATTATGTTCTCTTGCATCCATTTGCTTTTATTAAAAGATCATGGGTCTGGGGTCATGGCTCAGTGGTAGAGTGCTGGCCTACCATGTGTGAGGCACTCGCTTCAATTCTTGGTCCTGCATATAAATAAATAAAATAAAGGTCCATGGACAACTAAAAAATATTTTAAAAAAAGAGCATGTATTTAGAATGCTGAACATGCTGCCAGGTGAGGCTCACTTCTCAGATAAGAAGAGTCTCTAGACACAGCCACATTCCTATTTGAGTTTTGAAAGTGCAGCTGGCCCCGGAAGCTTCCATAATAATGTTAATTATGGAATGAAATGGTGATGGTGCCACAAACCCATCAATCAAAGGTATTTTTGTCTGGCCTTTGCTCTGTGCCCCTGCCAGGAAGAGTAAGAAAAAAGACATTATGTTCTCAACTAATTATCCCTCTTTTTATTTAAAGGTATCAAAATATCTAAAATGCCATTTTCTGACCTTCTAGGTCCCGTTGTAACACAGGACATTACCACGTATCACACCGTGTTTCTTTTGGCCATTTTAGGAGGAATGGCTTTCATACTTTTGGTTTTGCTGTGTCTCCTTTTATATTATTGCAGGTAAAGTGTTACCATTTTGGCAATATCTTTTTTAATGTCAAAGTTCTTGTGCAATTGATATTTGGAAGCATTGGTATGAAGTTGCTTTTTTGTGTTTTTTTTTCTAAATTGAGATCCTTTTTCTTGTTGTGAAGCAATATCTACAAACTCAAATGCATGATCTAAATTACAAATGAAACTACACGATGTGTAAGGCCAAGGGGAGTTGTATAAAAAACGTTTGACAATTGTCATCTGATTCCCTGGGAGTACTCCCAAATACTGATGGAGAGATGATATTCTCAAGATCAAAGCAGAATTATTATTATTTTGATGCCACGTCTGTTCACTGAGCAAGAATGTTTATCATTGGCTCTTGGGTGACCCCTTACGAATGAATTAGTTGGCTGTTCTTACAAAAACTTGAGGATCACTCTCCAGATGCTGCTGCTCTGGGTCAGCATTGGGTGAGTGAGGGTTCGTGGTGAGAGGTTTCTGGCCCCTGATGAGTTGTTTTGTTTCTCCTTGTGGAAATTGAGAGTTAGTATTTTGCCTGAAACTTGAAACTGTTCCATCATGAGAATCTCTAATCTCTAGTTGTGGGTCGTGTCTTTGGTCACAGGAGGAAGTGCTTGAAACCCCGTCAGCACCACAGAAAACTGCAGCTTCCGGCAGCCCTCGAGAGTTCCAAAAGAGATCAGTCCACTTCCATGTCGCACATCAACTTGCTGTTCTCTCGTCGGGCGTCAGAATTCCCTGGCCCTCTGTCCGTTGCCAGTCATAGCCGCCCAGAGGCCCCAGGGACCAAGGAGCTGATGAGTGGGGTCCACTTAGAAATGATGTCCCCCAGCGGAGAGGGGGACCTGCACACACCCATGCTGAAGCTCTCTTACAGTACCTCACAAGAATTTAGCTCCCGGGAAGAACTGCTCTCCCACAAGGAAGAAGATAAAAGCCAAACCTCCTTTGATAACTTGACTCCAAGTGGGACACTGGGCAAAGACTACCATAAGTCAGTGGAAATTTTTCCCTTAAAGGCAAGAAAATCTATGGAAAGAGAAGGCTACGAGTCCCCCGGCCACAATGACTACAGGGGCAGTTATAATACTACACTATCCCAGCCTTTATTTGAAAAGCAGGACCGAGAAGGCCCAGCATCCGCAGGAAGCAAACTCACCATTCAGGAACATATGTACCCTGCGCCTTCATCTCCTGAAAAAGAGCAACTGCTGGACCGCAGACCTACTGAATGTATGATGTCGCGATCCGTGGATCACCTGGAGAGACCCACGTCTTTCCCGAGGCCGGGCCAGTTGATCTGCTGTAGTTCTGTGGACCAGGTCAATGACAGCGTTTACAGAAAAGTGTTACCTGCCTTGGTCATCCCTGCCCATTATATGAAACTCCCAGGGGACCATTCCTATGTCAGTCAGCCTCTGGTTGTCCCAGCGGACCAGCAGCTGGAAATTGGAAGACTTCAGGCTGAGCTCTCCAACCCCCACGCAGGGATCTTCCCACACCCGTCCTCTCAGATGCAGGGCCAGCCCTTGTCTTCCCAGGCCATCTCTCAGCAGCACCTGCAGGAGGCAGGCACGCGGGAATGGAGCCCTCAGAACACATCCATGTCAGAGTCTCTGTCCATCCCAGCATCCTTGAATGATGCGGCTCTGGCTCAAATGAACAGCGAGGTGCAGCTCCTGACAGAAAAGGCTCTGATGGAACTTGGAGGTGGGAAGCCACTTCCACACCCCCGGGCGTGGTTTGTGTCCCTGGACGGAAGGTCCAATGCTCATGTTAGACATTCATACATTGATCTCCAAAGAGCTGGAAGGAACGGAAGTAAYGACGCCAGTTTGGACTCTGGTGTGGATATGAATGAACCAAAATCTGCCCGCAAGGGAAGGGGAGACCCTTTGTCTCTCCAGCAGAGCCACCCACCTGTCCAGGAGCACCAGCAGAAAGAACCCAGGGCCCCAGACAGCGCTGCCTACACGCAGCTGGTGTACTTGGATGACATGGACCCAAGCGGCAGCGAGTGTGGGACCACAGTCTGCACCCCCGAGGACAGTGCGCTGCGATGTTTGTTGGAAGGCTCGGGTCGGAGAAGTGGTGGACAGCTGCCCAGCCTGCAGGAAGAGACGACCAAACGAACTGCAGATGTCCCCCCGGAGCCATTAGCCAGTCCCCACCAGAGAAGATCTGCTCATGACGACGAAGACGATGACGATGATGACGACGACCAAGGAGAAGACAAGAAGAGCCCCTGGCAGAAACGGGAGGAGAGACCCCTGATGGCATTTAACATTAAGTGAACTGTCACAGAGCCACCCAACCGTGGGATATAACCTTGCCAAATATCCTTTCTTACTGAAGCGCATACCTGTTTGTGGAGGAGCCGAAGAAGGGCTACCGCAGGAGTGGACGTCCGCTGCGTGGGCATTGCCCTGTCAATGGTAGAAGGGAGTTAAAGTTATTTCTCGGAATAAAGGATGACTCTGGTAGATGCTGCACCTCCAGGGAGGTGGCTGGGAGAAGTGTCTGAACGTCGTTCCACAGACTTGACCTGTCCACCCACCAGGGATGCTGCAAAACCGCCCGTGATGTTGCTACACTCCAAGGATCACCTCAGTTTTCCCTCGGATTCTGGGAACAGATGAAACTCTTTTTGCATTGCTTGAATCCATTTTCTCACGATAATGCTACTGTGAAGCTATTCTTGAGAAATGAGGGTGGCACTCTGTGTCCCAAGGTAGGCATTATCTCCAAGGAAAGCTATGCATTGCTGCTTTGTTTCTTATTTTGCTTAGATTTTGCTTTGGTTAGGGCTTGTTTGGGGATTTGCTTCTTCTCTCTCTATTTTTCTTTTCAATACAATTTGGTTGTAAAAATTGCATTCCCTCATTTTAATCTGTTCTACTTCTCAGTGGTTTGTTTTTGGTGTCTCCCTTCAGGAACTCCTGAGTGTCATCTTTTAACATCCAAGCCTTTTAATGAAATCGTACTGAAACTTTTATCAGCTAAGAGTCTTTCAATTCTGGTCCCATTAACTCCAAGTGCCTTTTTTACAGTGACAACAGACAGTCCCTCAGTTTTTTGGTTTTTCTTAATCCCTTTAATTGAACTGCCTGGATTTTATATAAAGTTATTAAATGATATCCCTTTTCTTTAAACTGCATGCTGCCAAGTGCCATTTGTGCTCAGCATTCTCATTTCAGCTCAGTGTACTCTCTAGTTACCCTGTGTAATGTGGGTTCTGTTTAGCTAAGATAGACTAGAGGACACTTTAGAGATGCCCTTCCCTACCCCATCCCTTTGGCCATAAGCCACCGTTATGGTTTTATTGGCTGTTTGTATATACGGTTGGTTGCATATTAACTCTGGAATCCTATGGGCTGATCTTGCTCGGCAAACGTGAGAGTATGGACTGAGCAAGGGGACTGAATGTGACTATTAAAAAAAAAAACTTATGTACTATCCAAAAGTGCCAGAATGACTCTTCTGTGCATTCTCTCTAAAGAGCTGCTTAGTTATCCAAAAATGAAAATTCAAAATAAACTCAGAAGAAAATAAAACTGTTTTGTGGTCATTTTAATTCATTCCGAACCATCATCTGTTGCAAAATCATTACTAAGACTTTTTAAATCATTCCTTGACAGCCTAAAATGTGGTGGTTGGACTTGTAAACACAGCCACCCCGGGATTTTCACTGGGGTGAAAATCCTTAAAACCCACCTTTGTCTTTAGTGTCATTCAAGAACAGAAGGTAACATTTTGTTGTTTTTCAGGTAAAGAGAGATGTCTGTGCTTTACAGGAAACTGGTGTTTTAGATCTAGTATCGATCCGTCTTGGAACAGCTTCAAGAAGATTTTGTTAAAATGACCTGAATCATCTTGGATATATAATGCTGTTCATCAAAAGTGTTAATGGAGATGATGTCAAAACCTGGATTGGAAGAAATAAGTTGAGCCAGCCGTTTACAGTCAGCAGCTTCCTTACAAAATCTTCATTCATGAATTCTATACAGACAGAAAATCAAACTGGTTGCTATTATTTTAATTCTTCAATGCTGACATTTAATATTTGGCTTGGCAGGGGGTGGGGGCGATAGTTGAGAAAGTTCCCCAAGAGTCAGACAACTGTGGTCCGGCACCTGTGGTGTAAGAACTGAGGTAGAGTTCATTCTGGAGTGAACATTCTCACCAGTAGGTGGCGGTGAAGCTGTGCAGACTGGGCTAAGAATCCAGGGAGAAGTTATTGGTCCACTCCCTCAAAACAAAGCATAAGATGCCTCCTGGTGAATGCCCAGGGCAGATATTGGTGATGGGGGCAGAAAGGAGGATGTCAGAGCTCCTTGCTGTAACTGGTTCCCTCTCAGCCTAGGGTTGCTGCCAGTAGAATTATCTCCTTCAAGTATCAGTTTCCAGGAAGCCCTGTTCAATGCATGTCACCTGTGTGTGACACATGAACCCTTAGCACCGATTATGGGAGATCTGGCAGGAATATTGGGGAGAGCTGCTTTTCTGACTCCTTAGGTGAGACATAATCTAGGTTGGCTGTGATTGTGGAATGTATTGAGCAGCCAGTAGTGGCCACAACTTGGGAAGGCAAGGAAAGTGGGTTTGCCAAAGGGGAACTGGTTCTTCCAAAGGTGAAGTCGATTCAGTCTTACTGTTATCCATACTTGGCCTTAGAAGTTATGATTTTTTTTCTAGGGGCTGGGGATGTGGCTCAAGCGGTAGCGTGCTCGCCTGGCATGCATGCCGCCCGGGTTCGATCCTCAGCACCACATACAAACAAAGATGTAGTGTCCGCCAAAAAACTAAAAAATAAATATTAAAAAATTTAAAAAAAAAAAGATTTTTTTCTCATGGTGCCAACACTGATCGTCAGCCTAGAATGCTCTAGACAGCCTAGAATTCTCTAGACAAAGTCTGACTGCAGATTTTGAACACTTCATCTTTATGTCATGGTATTCCAAATTAAGTGTATTACCTGAAGGACCAGAGGCATCAAGGGCATCTTGCTCCTGCCACCTAATGGTGAGTTTTCAGTTGCCTGCCTGGCAGCAGGTATGATCTAAACACAGCTCTCTATGGCCAGCTCTGGGAGGTGGGGGAGGGAATGCCCAGGGGTGAGTCAGCCCCTGGTCTGCCTACGGGCTAGGTGGATGAGGAGACTGAGATCCATGGGGTCCCTATCTGGAAACAAAAGCTTGAGAACAACAATTTATTCCAGTTTCAGAAGCTTGTCCAGAAAATGTGTTTATTCTTTGTTTTCTACCTAATCAACCAAATAAAGGAGATGTGGTTAAATAATTGAAGTCACTCAGCTCAAAGCAGTGATGTGCCCAAACCAGCTCTTTGGAAATAAATTCATTTGAGCTACAAATGTTCCTAATGAAGCATGCGTCAGACACAACTTGCAAATAATAATAAAGTACATCACATTCCCTTTTGTCAATTTCCTTTGACAATTGATTCTCACCCAATGCTTTTGTTGATTATCATCATAGCCAACCCATTGTTGTGACTGACAACGAGTATAGTTCAGACATGAATGCTATTATTTAATGATTAAGGTGAAATTGAAACAGAAAGATATATTTCAGAATGTCACTCATGGAGTGGCTTCTTTGCTGAGTCAGTTTTTAAATAGTAGCAGACTGTTCGCTCAGACATTTTTGGTGCTGTTTGCAGTGTACCAACTTCAGACGTTGTCCTATTTTAAGTGTCAAACCACATTGTTAACATTTTCTGTATCATTTTCTCAAACCTCTAAGTCAACCAATCAAGACCTGATCTATAGTATTTGCCAATTTCTGTGGTATAGATACTCCCAGTGTGGCTAATTTCAAGCAACTAGAGGGATGTCACTGCACCTAAGAGCCTAGTGCTGAAGCGATGTGTAGTGCGAAGGCTGAGATGCACATCAAGGAGAGAACATGTGTGTTAGAGAAGTTTCATTCAGCAATGTTCCAGGGATGGCAATGTTAATGAATTAACAATCTATTAAGTAAGATTTTTTTTTTTAAGAGAGAGAGAGAGAATTTTTTAATATTTATTTTTTAGTTCTCGGCGGACACAACATCTTTGTTTGTATGTGGTGCTGAGGATCGAACCCGGGCCGCACGCATACCAGGCGAGCGCTTGAGCCTCATCCCCAGCCCCATAAGTAAGACGTTTTTAAACAGAAACACCCAAAATAACAAGGTTATGTAATTGATCCATTGAAAGAAATGTGACCATAGGCTTGCAGAAGCCCACCCCTATGTTGGCCCCTAGGAGCAGTGGCTGTGACATTGTCCTTGCTAATTCAGTGTTATAGAGAATGCACAGAACACAACTGCTACAGATAATGAGAACTGCTGATCGTGAACACTTAGGAATGATGATTTTTTTAAGGAAAAATTTTTAATTTTTGTTAATATATTTAGTTAGATTTGTAAGACTTGTTTTTTAATAATGGCCATGTATAACCACTGACTTGCAATGTTCCTGAAGTTATAAATCCCTCCCTCATAAACTCACTCTGGAATGCCATGTGAACAAAGGTCTACCTAACTCCTTGTCTCTTGCCTTCTAACTTTTATTTTTTGTTTTCTTAAGCCTTTTTATTTTGAAATCACTTTACAGTTACAAAGAAGTTGCAAAAATAGTACAAAGAGTCCCTGTGCCCTTTGTCCAGCTTCCATAATATGTCCTACAGAAATGTGGGACATTTGTCAGCACTAAGAAATCAGTGCTGTTACCATACAAACTGTATTCCATTTCTGCAGGGGGTTTTTTCATTAATATCCAAAAGGTACATATTTTAGTGGCTCAACAAGAATGACATTTATCATTCTTTTAAAAATTAGTACATTGGGCTGGGGATATAGCTCAGTTGGTAGAGTGCTTGCCTTGCATGCACAGGGCCTTGGGTTTAATCCCCAGTACCACACACACACCAAAAAAAAAAAAAAAAAATTAAAAAGTAAAAACAGATAAAGGAAAATCAGTTACCAACAACTGCCATGTAGACACAACTGCAGCTAGCATTTTGTTGTTTATCTGCAATTCTTTTTTTTTTCTATTTCATTTAATTGTTGATGGACCTTTATTTAATTTACTTATTTATATGTGGTACTGGATCAAACCTAGTGCCTCACACATGCCAGGCAAGTACTCTACCACTGAACCATAACCCCAACCCTTTCCTGCAACTCTTTACCCACATAAATGCACATTTCCTACAAAAAGATGCTCGCCCTCACCCTACCCTGCAATCTTCTTCTCCCACTAAACAGTATATTGTTAACAGCCTTCCCTGCTGGCACTTGTAGCTCCAGATCATATTTTTTATTTTATGACGATCTTTTATTTTAACTTTTTGAAACTTCAGGTGGAAATTTCTGATTAGGACAGGAAGATCTAGGTGCTCTTCAGGTGTTAGTGGTAACTGGGTGTAATATGGGCAATATTCATTAAAGAAGGATCAAGGTACCCTCCCTAGGTGCAAGCCTGACTGCAGGAGGTGGGAGGGATGCATGGAAGAGTGTGCCTAGGCTATACCAGCAGATAGCACCATCCGCTTAAGTGACAGAGACCCTGTGCATCTGGAACTTTCTTTAGTATAAATTAGCACAGATAAATGCAAAAGGAGTGAGACAAAGCATCCAAGAATGTGAGACCAGAACCAAAAAGGCAGAAGACCATAAAGCCTAATGATAATTGGGCTACAGTATGATACTGTACGATTTCCTGTGTCCCTCTTCTTGGAGACATTGCTTTTGCAGACCTCTAGTATTGGAGGACAAAGGGATATTAGAATGAAATTATAGATAGAAACATGATTTTTCAACCATTTAGGAATTCCATGATCCTCATTTGCTGTTGTTTACCACAGTTAAAACAACATGCAATAATGTTTTGAGACACTTATAACAACCCTTGATATTATGGACAACCTATTTGAGTGGGCACGATGGATGTTGTGACCTTTGGCAGTGAGCAATGGAGAAGGGCAGTTGCCATAATGGAGGGAGAAAGATCCAGCCAGACTTTTTAGGTGAAGTAGAAATTGCAAGCCTTTCTCTCGCCTTTTACATTTAAAGCTATGAATGTATATATACACCAAAATACCTGACAAATGTTTTTTTTTTCCTTCTTTGCAGTGTGATGATTTGTTTAATGTTCATATTCTGGTATTGCAAAGTGGTTAATCATTTGTGTAAGATCATTTGTACCTCAACAGAATGAACAGGAATTGAGGAGTCTGAGCATCTTGAACATGAAAGAGCCATGAAGATCTCATGCTGAGGAAACTGAAGCCTGAAACCACAGGGGTTGACCTCCCCAGGCAGGCAGTGAGTGACCACATGGAATCCAGGCCCCACCTCCTTACAGTATCACAGTGTGCAGCCACTTCCACAGGCTATTCTCCATCCCCAGCTCTTTTATACCCTCTGCCCTCTGTCCACATTCTACATAACAGTAGATACTCAAAATTAGAACCTAAAGCATTGCAAGCCACAATAATTATTCAGTTTCTAAGGTTGTGGAAAGAACCCTGGACTTGAAGTGAAAGA